AAATCACATTAATATTTTATATTGATTTTTTTATAGAGATAATAAGACAAAAAGCAATAGTAATATAAATTGTTGACGTGGTTTAACCATGACTACACAAATAAGAGGGAATAAAAATATATGGAAAGTGGGAGGGTAGAGAAGCCAGGTCCAATGAGCAAAGAAAGATGATATGATTGGTCGCACACGCGTGTGTGATTTGTGGTCACAATTAAATGTTGATGCGATTGTTTATTTCACTTATTGTACAAATGTAGAGTGTCAATGCGTTTGTTTATTTCACTTATTGTACAAGGGGTGTGATATTCACATACCTTATTTTACTTCTCACACATTTTTTTAATTTTCGACCGTCAGATCAGATGAATTGAAGAAGATCAACAGACATAAATTATCAAGGAGTGTGTGAGAAGTAAAATTGAGTATGTATATCACACCCCATTGTACAAACGTGTAGTTTTGATGCGTCGGTCGCCCCTTGTGTACTTCCACCTGAATCCGGATTCTCGTCGAATCTTTTTTGTGATGATTTTAGGAATCCGTGAATCATATTCATTCATCGTATATTATACAGTTAGAAATTATTTTAAATATTTTTATTTAAAATTAATTACAAACAATATTTGACAAAAATTAACCACATGATATATACGATGAACAGACACGATATACAAATCTTCAAGATCCTCACAAAAAAGAATCCGAAGAGGATCCTATTGGTTTCCGCCTAAACAACAAGACTAGCCAAAAATAAACAAATAAATAGTGGCGCGTGTTTTGCACACGCCACGAGAAGTTGTGGACGAGAAAATTTGTAATGAAATATTACGCAAGGGGAAAGAAGTGTCAGAATCTAATCCGTTTGTATTCTCAGAATATTCAAGAACAATTTTCCAGGAAAATCTAATTTCCGCATTCAGAAACCCAAAATTTTCCGGGAAAATATGGGCGCGAGTGGTTTTCAATACGATTCTGTGCTTCGGTTTCCGACTTTCTTCTCTTTCAGCAAGCAGCCCAAGCTGGGAAACCCCATTTTCTCTCTCAAAGGTATTCACTTTTCCGCAATTCCACCTTAAATTTTGCAATTGGGTTCTTCTCAGAACTGTTCAAAAAAGATCCCTCAGCTTGGTTTAGGTATTTTCTTGTCTGGAATTGCTACAAAATTTTACTACTTTTAGTTGATAACGCGATATTTTAAACTACTCTGATATACGGGACGAGAAAAAGGATTCAAACAATAATTTAAACTACTCTGATCTACGGATGAAGGGATTCAAACTCGAGTGCAAGGACTACATCGAATAAAATAAATAAATATTTAGTAGCTATTGAATTATCATTCCTGTTTTGATAACGGAAGTTCGGATATTTGATGATGCAGCTTGTTGATTGCAGATGTGTCCCCACTCTTTGAGCGAAAGGAGCTTCACTTAACAGTCACCTGCAGCGTTGGATCTCAAGGAAATGGAAGAGACCAACCACCTCGGCGACGATCAGAAAGAGCGAACAAGGATGGAAGCAAGAAACGGGGATCCAGAAAAACGAACGCAAACCAGGAAGAGATCATTTCTCTATTCAGACGGATTCAGACTTCGATCTCAAAAGAAGGGTCTGTGGATGACGAGAAGATTGGCTCCGATGACTATGAAGATAGGCCGCATTCTGATTCGATTCTTCGCGCTCTTCACGGGTTAAGGAATCCGAAAGGTAATGTCGATGAGATGAATGCCTTGTTTGATTCCGTCGTGCACAATTTTTGCAACTGGACATGCTCATTTTTCGTGGTTAGGTTAGGTGTCGACTGCAATGTGCCTACCTCGTTCCATCTTGGTTTGGATTTCTATCCCGTAGATCAGAGTAGTTTAGAATATTGATTGCTTGCAACAAGGAGGAGTCGAAGCAATTTAAGAGTGATTAGTTTCGAGTTATGATGATTAGGTTTATCATCTTTCACATACTATTTCTTAATCAAATTATATTTACTGCAGGCAAAGCTGATGAGAAGGACGGGAAAAAGGTTTTCATAAGGAGAACCGATACGAGAGAGGAGCAAATGCAGAGTAATCCTCCAGTTGCAGAGTTCAAGTTGACACGGCCGCCATCAAAATTTGTGAAACGATCCCCGATTCCACATCCATCGACCCCGAGATCACAGTTTCTGGATCTGGATAACGGAGCAACACCTTCGGCGACTGGAAGGTCCGGTGCAGAGGAATTAGATTTAAGGTCCGGTGCAGAGGAATTAGATTTAGTGAGAGTGGAAGGAATGAAACTCCCCGAGCTGAAGGAGCTCGCAAAGTCGAGAGGAATGAGAGGTTACTCAAAACTCAAAAAAATGGAGCTTGTGAAACTGCTCAAGTCTTAAGGCAGCGTAAAAAGCCGAAACATTTACATTTGTATCAGAGCATTATGTGTATGCGAGAAATCGAATTTCGGATTTTTCTCTTCAGGTTTTATGCAGATAACCCGAAAACAGCAAGACATCGGGGTTGTTTTCTAAACCGAAAACAGCAATCACAAATTTAGCTAAAGTGGTTGTAAAGGAAGCACTGTAACAAGAAATAAAATACGCTCCCATATAAGCAAAACGAGTTTGACCGTCGGATAGCTCTTAACATAAAAAATACTCGCACGTCTTAGAAAACGTCTTAGAAAAGTAATAGCTCCTGAATTGACACAAAGTAGCAACAACTTGCCAAACCTAAAACAAAATATCCACGATTGTGGCTGATCTGTCTAGCCGGTAATATTTTGGGACTTGTTGAGGATGACTCCTTCATATTTGACCTGGAACCACTTCATTGCGTCCTCCTTGGTAACCCTGTGCTGAATGCCAACACGCGCCTTGCATCTGCGGCGGCGTCCCACACGGTACCCTGGGCGCTCTAGAACGACAAAGAAGTCCATACCATAGATACCGGTAGAAGGGTCATACCTGATGAATGAAAAACAAACTGGTTAGAGATTGGAAATCATACACCGCCTATGTTCGCACATTATATTCAACACGGATCTAAAATAATATCAGCCAGATAAGAGATGGTAAAAAATGAATCCAAAATACATTGTGAAATTTAACACCTTAGAAAGATATAAACATGATTGAGAAAAGATAACTAGGACAAAAAGTCGTTCAAAGGGAATCCGAGATGACCACAGGTAGGGCAAGGTAAGCATATCATTCCCAACCTGAGGTATATAGTGCCTCACTCAAACTTGAAATAATTTTAGCGATGCGAGACAACTAGTGCCTCGCGCAAACCCGAGATAATCCAAATTACACCAAACACTAGCTTTTGCGAAAATGCTATTTTCCGTTCACAAGGATCTAGCTCCATTGTTACGCTACGCTGCACAACTTTTCCAGACCATTTATTCTGAAATGTAAACTGAATTGCGGCAGTCTAGTTGGAACTTATTTTAAGAATTCAAAAGTTTATGAGCAAATCCAAATCCCGTATAAAAGCTAAATAACTATTCCCAATCTCATAAATTGTAATCTAAAGCGCGAACACAAAACCAACCAGCATACCATACATGTCATTCCACCAATTCATCAAACACAATCATTCTGCAAAGACAATTTTAACGAGGGTATATGGCAAGATGAAAAATTGAGAAGCACCAACTTGATTCCGAGATCGATATGTTCCTGAATACCGAAACCAAAGCATCCGGTGTCGCTGAAGTTCCTGCGCAACAGCTCGTATTCCTTGACCTTCAGTCCACTCTCCAAAAGCTGCATTGCCTTATCGCCGCGGACAGTCACGTAGCAGGCAATCTTCTCGTTACGCCTGATCCCGAAAGACCTCACAGTGTACCGAGCTGCACAGAATCACAACTCCCAAATAAATACACGAACAAATAATACAAAAATAACCACACAAAAAATATCAGAGATAATCTAATCTGATCAAATCAAATCTCACCTTTGGAAAAGACAGGGGTCTGGCCACTGAGCTGCTCCAAGACCTAGGGCAAGGGGCAAAATAGGAAATGAAATATCAGCATACGATTGTTGATTTATTTTTGGGTGGGTGGGGGAGGTTGAGAAGTAAGTAAAAAGGAGAAACCTTGGCGGCTCTGGTGAGACGATCGCCGCTTTCTCCGACGGAGATGTTGAGGACGAGCTTCTGAACCTTGATTTCCCTCATGGGATTCGCCAGCTTGTTCTCCGACGCCTGAAAATTCAATATACAGAAACAACAGATTCATCAGAAATCCATACTATCATGAGAGAGAGAGAGAGAGAGAGAGAGGGAGAGAGGGAGGAGAAAGAGACCATTGTGGGATGAGGAGTGTTGCAGAGAAGGCGGAGCAGCAGCGGAAGTTGGAGAAGATGGAGTACAAATAGGAGGCGATATGAGGGAGCTAGGGTTTTTATTTCTCATTTGGGCTGGGTCGGAACGCTAATTTGACTTCAACCCGACAGTATTTCGGGTCGGAAGTGAATAATCTAACCCAACACTTTGGTTGGGCTCGTGGATTTTTTCCGGCCCAGCAATAAATGTTTACGTTTTTATTAGGGAAATAATTTTTCCCACACCATCGTTAACTTCTCATATGTGTGTAAGCATCTTACAAAAAACTCAAAAACAAAATTTGGCAGCTACGTCAAATTAGGCAGCAAAGGCCTAGACGTTATTCCGTGTCAGATATGAAGCATCGGTTGGAGAAAGTTTTGTTGCTTTTTGTTACCGTTGAATATCTACTTGGCACTTTTGACATCTCATTTGAAAATGCTCTAAATAGAGTGAAGATCATTTCATTTTTATAACAATATATTTACACTATGGGACGGAGAAATAAATTGATATCGAACTCGCCATTTACGAAATTCAACCTCTCATTTTTAAGTGAAAACTATGACTAGCAAATAGATGGAAACCCCGTTTAGTCAGTGATTCGAACTTCTCTCCCGGTATGCTTGTTCTTCCACAGTTACACACAAAAGTCATGCTGCATCATAAGTCGCTGCAACCTAACATTTGAACTGAAAGTGCAGAATTCATGGAAACATGTCTATTCAATTCAATCACTTTAACAAATGGAGTCTACAACAAACAAACGACAATTTTTTCCTTTTCTATATCATGTCCTAGCTTTTCGTTTTCATATTTGAGCTACAGCTGCGAAAATCTACGCCAAATCCCACAAAAACAATCGAAAAACATCACCCGTCACACTGCAAGAAAGCAGCAAATAACCGCACTCTGCCAGTCGCCAAGACGGCAACTCTTGTAGCGTGAGACCTCTAGTCTTCAGGGCGTGTACGCAGAAACCACAAGAGTTTGTTTTACAAGAGACCGGAAACAATCCGATTAAAAGCAACACGTCACAATACTCCACACGATGCACGATACATGATACACATACAGCCTTGAAACATAATGCAACGGAGGAACCTTGAGATTTTATTCACATCCCTTTGCTAGAACATATTCACACGAAAAAACCATGGAAGTACAAAAGCTATTACCAGACACGCCATTAAGAAGTTGCAAAATGGCTGTCGCCGCCAACATGATACATTCCTCTCCGATGAATTATTACCGATATCAGCAAGCGTTGCTTCATGCCAGTCCTCCATAAATCCATTATCCCCATGACCGGTAATATTTTGCGCAGTCTCACCACATATTTCACATGTCCTGCATGAATAAAATGAGAATGGATTTTGCATAAATTGTAACAAAAACAGTTTAAAATCAACTAGGATTGCTTAGTTGTAGGAAATGAAGACCCTCTCTCTATCCCTCTTCTGCTACCTCGCGATTTGCTTAGTTGTAGGAAATGAAATCTGATAAGTTTTCACTCAAACACTTAATGGAGGTTCAGTTTGTTTCCTCATTCCGAAAAGGAAAAAAACCATCGTTCTTCCAGCAAGCGACTAAGTTAAACATTTAGTAACAAGTTGATGAAAACTTGTTTATCGGGAACCTTCGTCTGAAGTCCAGATTTTAACGGGCATAGATAAAAATTAAGATCACATACCCAACATTATGAGCTCAGAAACATCAAACACGAGATGCATAATAAGAAAAACACAAACACTATAGGCAGTGCTGCCGAGCACAAAGTGTATGAAGCTTAAAGCATATTGTCAAAAGACATGTATTGTTAAAAGGAAACGAGGAAAGAGTTACCTGTTTCCTCTTAGCCTAAACCATGCTTCGGCACAATGACCATGAGCAACGCCAAGCTCATCTTTACACCCACAACCGAGATTAATTAAATCCGCTGTGATAGAACTATTAGCAGTTTCCATTTTTCTCTCCGGTGAGATATCAGAACCTAAATGGCAAATCCTGCAAACCCTTTCCCCATCCCATCTATCACCAAACCCTCTACCACTCCCAGACTTCATATCAATCACACATGAATCCTTTTCTGCTTGAGGCACCTTCTTCTTTGAATCTTCTGCTAATACCTTACTCGACTCACCCGAATTAATGACAACAACAGTCTCAGACACATTCCCATCAACCAAATTGTTTGAATTCTTATTAGCTCCTTGCTCAACTTGACTAGGTACCTCATCTCCTTGCTCAACTTGTCTAGGTACCTCATCACTACCACGCTGTCCGCATGCCTCCTTATCATTCGGCTTCTCAAGCCCTTCTACCACTGCTTTATCAGACTCCAGCTCACTCCCCATTGTGTCCAAACCTTCATTTTTCCCGTTGACACGAACATCCTCTTCGGATTCAATCACAATGGCAGTCTCAACAACCGACCAAACAACAGAATCTTTCGACTTTTCGCTCCCCTTTTGATCAACTCCACCCAACACCTCACTCCTATCCTGCAAATCACATGCCCCGGCATCCATTGCTAAACAAAAGCTCTCTCTAACCTCCAAAGACACCAACTTTCTCACACGCCCAGCAAAACAATACAGACCCAATTCTAAAACTTCACAGAAAAAACACTAACTCCAAGAGTTCATACACAAATCCAATTGAACAACCAAAGTTCACATAACATTCTTATCTCTCTAAACCATAAGCAATGTGATAAAAAAGCACTCCATGCGTGTGTACATATAATCTCCAATCATAAAATAATAGATGAATAAACTAAAACAACTAGAAAATCCCAACAGGTAAAAATCCAACCTTTATCCGTACACGCCTGCTCAATCCCAGAGATGTAGCTGCAAAAAACAGAACTTTATCCTCAGAAACTAAAATATGGGAACTTTCAGATCTGGGATTTTAATTTTATACGATTTCAACTACACCAAGTGTGTGATTTCAAATTCTAGGAATTGGGTTTTTGATAAAATTATATAGTGGGCACACAGGAAAGAGTAGAAGGTTGGTGAAGAATCCAAACAAAAGATGAAAATTGGATAAAAAAAACATAGAAATGTTGAGGGAATGAATAAATAATAACCCTTGAATTTGGATTGGTTGGAAAGTGCAGAGATTTATTTCTATTTTTATTGGAGGTGAAGGTGCAAAGAATTAATCAAAAATATTTTTTTGTTATTTGCTAGTTGTGGGAATTTAATGTAAGGAAAACGAAAAGGATATATCCTTTTCGTTAAAGATGAACAGTAACAGAAGTGTTGCGTTAAAACTCCTTTTAATGTATTCTTATTTGGATAGGAATTGATTTTTTTTCTTTTTAAAACGGGGCTAAATGCAAAAAATTCAAATAGAACTATTCAGTAATAAATCTTAATCGAGACATCTTAAGTTGATCTTCATGAATAAAACTAACTGAACACGGAGAAATAAGGTAAAATTGCCCAAATCTAAATCATGACTATAAGTTTTTAGGTCACTAAACTATCGGTTACAAATTCTTTTTTCTATAGACATGCCTAAGTTCCATTGTCAAGATCTTCAAAACAACTTTCAACATGCCAAAACAACGAGACCAAAAACTGATTATTGCCCAAACGCTTTCAAGACCAAATGGACAGGAATTCTATTTGGCAGAAATTGCTTGGGGTTGCGTTTTAAATGGGTAAATCGTTGTGTGATGGCGTTTTGTGTTGTGTCGGACTGTTTTTGCCGCGAATTGAGGACCCAGAGGAGTGTACAAGGTGGGAAGGAAGTCTTCAGGTAGATTCAATTGTTTGCGGATTTACTTTCAATGATTGGTTAGATGTGATGTCTCTTCCTACTGACAAGGCCAAGTACTCCTGACGGTACGCCGTGTTTGACTCCCGACTAGTTAGAGTGATATAACTCTTGATGTAGAATTCTGTAGTAAGGTCTCAATGCCTTTTTCATTGGGATACCGACAATAAGTCGCTATGTATAGTAGTTAGAGTGATGCTAGATTGACAATAAGATGTGTATAACTCTCCAATCCTATAGTGAGGTCTTCCTTCTTGATGAACTTGGATCCAGTATTTAAATTATCCATGAAATTGTCGATATTTTCGTTGAAATATCCGAAAAATCAATGATCATTATAGAAGCAGGGGTAAAATGTAAACTTCACATTTTATCAATGTGGTATATTTACCGATTTGCTATAGAAATTTAGTCGAAACCGCATTGCAGATTTCGAACTTTTAAAAAAAAAAAATTCTCTAATTTTGACTAAATATGTATGAGTTGATATACTCATCCCATTGCAAATTTCCATAATTTCTTTCGAAGGGACCAATATCGATATCGATACATTCAACGATATTTTCATAAATTTGCATATTGATATTTTAAACATTGGTTGAATCTAGGTAAACTTTTCCATTTGTTCTTTTTTTTTTTTTTTGGTTTGCAAGTTAAGAACAAGATTCATGATTCGTCAGAAGTTCAGAAAAATTACTAAAAATGGTGCACCAACCCTACCCTATCGACAAAAACATGTTGATGCTCCAAAGCTTCTATCTTGAGTGATAGAAGGCTTTATTTCTCTATTTAAAAATATAAGATATTAGGAGTTGGATTCTTAAATTTGTCTTCTTCTTCTTTTTTTTTTTTTTTTTGTCAAAGCTTAATTTGTCATTGGCTCAGACTCAAATTATATTACTAGGGTTACAATAATTCATATAAAACTAGTAAGCTATGGTGTATTTATCACGAAATATAAGTTCATAAATATTGTATGTGATTTTTCTTTTGAGTACGAAGAAAGCTTTGTTGATTGACTCAAGAATTACAATAGTGGATGTAAGACTTAGCCTGTTTGGAAACTATCCTTTCAGGATTGAATTGTAAATAATATTAAAGCACATTTCAAGGCAAACAGAAATTACTCGATAAACAAAACGTCAAATGCGACCCAAAGTTATAATTTGTTGAATGTTGATTAACCAATTGGATAAGCTTACTTTTCTTGGACGGCAAACAACTTCTCTTATTCTTGGTATCAGTCTCTAATTATATATGAAAAATCCTTAACTCAAGGAGGTCAAAACTTAAAATACTTTAATATAAGGTAGCCAGGTAGTGGGATGGGATATTAGGGGAGTTGATTTGTAGGAAGATAAATGTTAAGGAGACTCTTTCGAAGTGAGACTCTCAGTTATCTCATAATTTTATGCTAATTTATGTGCAAATATTATGAAACATTGTGCTAAAAACAAGATACGGCAAAGTCCATAGAGAGTATCTTCTAGGAAACAAGTTAAGTAGGATTAGTTATTTTCTTGATGGTGAAAGTTACCTAACTAATTGACAACAATTAGCAGTATCATTGTTTAACTTAGAATTAATCAGACGTTTGTTGTACTTATACGCAAAATAATAAGCATCAATATAATTATATTCTTTAAAAATATAAAAAAATAAAATATAATTACATTCTTTTGTCCTGATAGCAATAAAGAAACCCATTTGGATGGAGGAATTTGAAAGAAAAGAAATGTGGTGGATTTGAAATTTTGGTTTTTTTTCTTTGTTTTTAGTTTAAGTGCATACGTAGATTCTAATCGTTTAAACAAACAATTTTACCTCATAATATTTTATATATTCTTATTTGAAGAAAGAAAATGAATGAAATAATATTAATAGTTCCTAAAGGGACATTATCTGATTAAGATACACAAGGCCCCTGCAATAATTGCAGAGATGACTCAATCAACTTCGTATGTACCAAAAATATATTATCTCACACCTTACATGAAACCAGTTCATCGTTGTGTGATATTTTGATTCAATAATACATTGTAATGTAAAAAATAATAATTGTACATGACAATGCATTATTAAACAAGAGACATCACGTAGCGATAAAACTCATTTTATGTAAGTCTTTCTCTATTTCAACTATTTAGTTTTAACTTATTTATGTCTGAAACACTAACGAAACAATAACACATTGTTATATGTGTTTAATTTGCCCACGTGACCGTGCGTTAACAGTTTAGAATACTCACGAGTGGCTCGTGAGTGTAGATACAGTTCAAATCCCAGCAAATTCAAGGTACATACTGTGGAAGATAATGGTACACCGGGTATATGTTCACCTCGGTCCTAGGGAGTAGGATTTTCTCCTCTCTTTTTTTCCCTCCCTTTTTCTTCCCTCTTATTTGAACGGTCACGGTTAAGTCTCATCAACATCTTATATTAATTTTATATAGAAAGAGAAAGATAAAATAGATAATGTGAGAGGAGGGAATGGAAGGGGATGGAAATAGGAGGGGAGAGAATCCTAGTCTCGGTCGTAGGCCATGAAAATTATACAAGTGGATTATGGGACCTGTGTAAATCGGACACATGTATACCCTAATTAAGAAAAAGACTATGAACGTGATAAAGAAAGCAAGGAACCACGAGTTGGTGGTCCAGTGGTAAATGACGAATTACGAGATTTCCTTAAAACTAAAAACTAGACGTCTCGGGTTTGAAACCGCTGCTAATGTGCTAGTGTGGAAGTCAAACTTGTGGGCAGAGGAAGACTGAAATGTCTTTATGAGTCTTCTCGACTCTTGAACCGCGTTGTTCTTTCTCACTTGAATGTGCTGTCTACTGTCTGTTTGTGCCACCATTTTAATCACGAAATGGAAAGAAAGAATAGGACTAGTCTTCTCTACTTGATCGTATTCTTAAAATTTCAGGCATTGAATTATGGAGTTGAAGGTGGAATCCGCACGTTTTCCCGTTCTATATCTGTTAAATAATAATCACATGGAAAGTTTAAGAATTGAAATGATTCTAGTACCGATGTTTTAATAAACGCAGAAAATTAAGATTAATTCCAGTTCTCATTTGTAAGTAATCATGTTAGTTTGATTAGGAAAGAACTCTAAGGGAAATTAGCAACTCTATCCCAACAACAAAATGTAAGATTCATTTACAGTTGCACTTTCCTTTTGAACTTAGCTGCGAGAGGGTGGAATGACGGCCCTGGCGACCTGACCTAATCCACGTCTGCATTTACAGTTGCACTTTAAATCTACAACTCGATATTTTCTTGTCACCGAGGTCCTGAAAGTTCCATGGCTTCAATGATGAAAGACGACTCTTGACGCACATCACTACAAGTCCTGGAGAAATCATGAGCCCTGGCCTCAAAGAGGTTGGTTCCGCCTTGTGATACCTCTGTATGTCCTGAATGCCCAACAAGGCCTTCCAAAATCTTCAAGACGTCTGACATCTTTGGTCGGAGGATGGGGCTTGATTGAGTGCACTGAAGAGCTAACTCGACACATTGTTCCAGTTCGATTGCATCGAAACATCCTTTAAGATCTCGGTCTACTAACACTTCAAGCCTTTTCTCCTCATGTAGGGTTCTAACCTGCAAAATTCAACAACCCGTGAAATATTTGGAAAGACACGAAACCAATAGAACAGTGCAAAAATAGGTAATCTGAAAAAATAAATCCAATTTTATGTGGCTTAGAAGTTTCATAAGGATGAGTTATATACCGAGAACCAATCCCACGAGGAATGAGACCGACAATTTTACATGAGATAAAACAACACGAAAAAAACATGTGAAATTATTACTTACCAAATCAAGAATCATTCCCTTCTGAACTTGACCATTTCCAGCATCTAATGCCTTTTGGCCGGTTACGAGTTCCAGAAGCAGTATGCCGAATCCAAAAACATCAGTTTTTTCGGAAGACTGTCCAGTTGAGAGATACTCCGGGGCTATGTGTCCTACAGTGCCCCGCACTGCAGTAGTGACATGTGATTCCCTCCGATCTAAAAGCTTGGCAAGACCAAAATCCCCAACCACAGCTTCATAACTTTCGTCAAGTAAAATATTCGCAGCTTTGACATCCCTGTGAATAATTTTTGGATTACACTGTTCATGCAAGTATAGAAGTCCACGGGCTGCCCCAAGGGCGATACAGAGTCTTCTGTTCCAATCCAATGATGGTTTTTCTTGACCAGTCTCTGTTGGTAAGAATCAAATCATAAGGAGCAACTAACAAAGATGTAAAACGGATCAGCTACTTAGATATACTTTCAAAGTTAACAAGATGAATGTGACATGAACAACTGTTAAACTGCTTGAACCGAGAAAAACATATAGAATGCCTTACTAGTCAAGGTATAGAAATGTGATTGATATTCCTCACGAAGATTAACAATTGGATAGAGATTTTCTTTAATAGAAAGAAAGTAGAGACATAGCATGCATCAGTATTCTGCAATTAAACCCCAAAATAGTAAAGCAACGTAATGATTTTATGAGAGAGAGAGATGCACGCAGCGAAATGTAGACGAACCTCTCAAGCGGTCAGCAACACTTCCATTTGGCATAAAAGGATAAATAAGCAACCTCTCGTTTGGAGTCATACAAAATCCATATAAACGTAAAAGGTTTCTATGCAAAGCCAAGCCAATCATTTCAACTTCAGTTTGAAACTGCACTTCTCCAGTGAAATTTGGATCTCTCAGTCTCTTAACTGCTATCATTGTCCTATTTGGAAGACATCCTTTATAAACGACTCCATATCCACCTTGCCCTAGGATGTTTTTGGAACTGAAATTGCCGGTAGCAATTTGCAATTCTCGATAGGAGAACCTCTTCAATTGACTAATATCAAATTCATAATCTTGCTGCACTGCAAATATGAACCAGAGAATGTCATGATATATCCGCCATATATTGTGCTCGATAAAATAAGTCAGCGTAGATCAGGAAGTACCATAAGATGTAAAGAGATGACGAGATCTGAACCAATGCACCCAAAAAACAAGCAGCATTATGGAAATGACAAATGTACAACTAATGCCTAGAGCAACAGAAAGCACCCATCGGTGGTGACTGCTGACTTTCTGTGGTGAACCTGTCCCTACAGGTAAATATTCATGAGCATGAAACCATATCCAAGGAACAGTACAATAAAAAATAGTTTGAGAGGTTGAATTACCGTTTATAGGTTTGGAGACACCGATGCAGATTTGTGCCGAGTCTGGTGATGAAGGATTGCAAAGAAAGCTATTGCCTGTAACACTGCAGTAAAACAAGTAAATTCTTAGCTGAAGTTAAGGTGTTCAAACAAACCTCATACTGATTGAATTTTTATTACCATCCCACCCTCATTCATTTTTTTTTAAAGATCTTTTATTTCCCTCTCTCAAACAATATTTATGCTGATGGTCTCACCTGTAGCCTTTTGCCTGTATTTTTGGTGTAGGACCACTAAGATTGTTAAACGATAAATCTCTGTAATATTGTTGGGAAACAAATATTAGAGTTGCTCTAATCAATACAGAAATAAGAATACACAGTTAGAAATGAGAGGAACACATACAAGAATGAAAGACCTGCGAGATCGGCAACAAGTTTTGGAATATGACCACTCAACTTATTTCTATTCAGCCTCCTGAAATGCTTGGCATGGAAAGGTTTCAGATACAAATACATATCACTAGCAAACATGTAGCTAGAAGCAATCGAAATATTAGTATACGATCAATTTTGAACCCTACTCACAAGTAACTTAGATGAGTCAAAAGCCCCAAAGAGCTCGGAATGTCTCCAGAAAACTGGTTACCCGAGAGGTCAAGAGTTTGAAGCTCTGAAAGCCACCCTATCTCAGCCGGGATTGGACCAGATAACTGATTGTTTTGTAACAACCTGCAGTCATAGAAATCATAGAAAGTTCACAAGTCATAAACTACAAGAACTTAACTTTTGATTTCCCAGGTTAGGAATGCACTTCAAGGTTCACGGGATGGTTACGCTACTTCATTTTCACATTAGCAATCAACAAGATTCAGAATAAAGTTCGCCAAAATATCCTACAACAAGGCCTCCTTACACACTTGTGATTATCTCATTCCAAATGACGCGTGATTGAACGAATTGATTGTATTCTACTCATGTTAATTCACAGAAGCGCAAACTCGCACCAAGGCAATTATCTACTTCCCCTGCTTGAAATAATTCGTGGATTTTTCGCTGGACACACCCCATAACTTCATTTTTCAGCATTACTGTGTACTGAATGACACAATGAAGAAGTGCTTGCCACATGATTGAATACAAATCAAATTGTCTCACAATAGAGAATACAATTGGAGTGGCTTACAGTGTTTGAAGGTGACTCAAGTTCCCAATACTCGGCGAGAGCATCCCAGATAAATTCGTGCTGACCATTGCACTGGCAAAAGTAATAACATTAAACCCCATTTTCGAGTTTAGCCACAAATGCATGCTACAGCTACTAATTAGATAACTCATAGCTTTCAATGGAAACAGACTGTAGAAAACACTCTCGTTTCAACAGATGCTCACAAAAGAAACGTTCTTTGTTTCTTTCTTGTTTCATTGATTTCCGAATAACACAAACGCAATGCACCATCCAATGCTTTGCACCAATATTTTCCCAGAGCATTTTCTCGAGAAACAAACAGAAACCAATACACAATGGAGAATTACAGGGACACTCACAGGGAGATTACAAAGCCCTCAGTGGAGCAACCAACCATGTTCCAAGTGCAAGGATCAACGGAGTTTATATCCCAACCGGCCATCACAGGCAACTCATCCTTCATATCTCTCTTCACCGACATCAATGCCGCCACTAAAACCCCACCAAAAACAAGAACATCACACATACAATTTCACCATTAAAATTCAAGTAACTCAGCAAATCGAAAAAATGGAACTTGGGTTTTGAATCTCGAGAGGTCGTACCTTCAAAGTTGACACCTTTGGGAGAGAGAAGGCTGTCAGAAGCAGTAGCCAATGGCACACACAAACAGAAGAAGCAGAAGCCAAAAAGCAGCTTTTTTACACAGTTGTTTTCCATTTTTAACAGGAAAAGAGAGAAGACAAAAGCAACTTTTTACTAGTGCAAAATGCAGAGATTGAAAGATTAGTTGATAGAATTTGAGCTCCACCACCACTACCACCAACTTCTGCTTTTCTCTTTCTTCTTTTCTTTAGTCTCTTCTCGGTTTGGAATCTCTGCTTACTGCTTACCTCGAAAACCGTTGCGAGTGAAATGATTAAAAAAAGGAAAAAGATAAAGTTTGGTTTAGGATCGTAAGACCAGGAGGGGAGGGAAACTCGAGATTTAGGAAGCGACAGAGGTTGTCTGCCAAATTGAGATGGCTGAGGGCTTCTCTGTGGTTGGCTTTAGGATTTTTTTCTAAATCTGATTGTTTTCTGACCGTTGGATTTGTATACTTCTTTGTCTTTTACTCTTTACCACTCTGTTTTTCATTTCTTTTCAAAATATTAATTACCAAATTTGAACTTTAATTATATATTCAAGATAAATTCGTCACTTGCTACTTCAATGTTTATTTGGGGAATGCTCAAAGCCTCAAACTGCTACTCCCTGGCCACTTCAGTGGTAACCAAATTGTTCATTTCGTAAATTATAATCTGATGATACCTCTGCAGAAAGTCAATCAAATGGAGCATTCCTATCGGAAATGCGACGCATAAACCAATAGGAAAGTTGGGGGTGGGAGAGGAGACGGAGCCATACATATAACGAGACAACGCATTACACTTAAAAAGTTTGCACAAACAGCAGCGGAAGTAACAATATTTGTCCGGAAATTCAGGTCAGCGAGCCACCACAAACCACCGCAGGACTTAAATACGAAACAACATTAAAGCAGAGGAAACCCATCCGGCAGCAACCAACAACTTTCTCTATTAGGAGAGCCCTCTTTCCTAGCTATATAAATACAATTTTCCAGTTTCCTAGCTTTTCCTCTTCTACCAGCTTTCTTACCAGTCCGGTCCATCTCCGAATATCTTTTAACTATCAAACATGTACAGGAACAAAAAGGAATTTCGGGAAAAGGGAGGAAATCGTAGAAACGATAGCACATTACATGAAGCCATCCATCCCGCCGCAGTTTGCGTACTCTTCTTGGTAGAGCAACAAAATGACAATAGTCAGCCTTCAATCCGTGGTGATTTACCCACAAAGACAGTAAAACCTTTGTGTCACACATCAACGGAACATATTAACTTATCCACATTTATGTGCCAGCCGGATGCAAGTTCAGACCCATCTGCCGTTTCACATGGTCAGGTATCAACCTATTGACAAGCTCTGGGGTGGCGCCGGACAGCTGCAAGGAGGATTAGGTAATTGTATTTAGGTAAATGATAATAAAGACCCTGAAGTGTATTCATGCTTCTTTTTTTCTTGGACAGGCATGCTCAGGCTCCATAACCCGAAAACATGAAGATTTTTCTTTTGTTTTTTTTTTTTGAAGATGAGGGAAAAAATAACATACCTCCTGCTTGAAATTAAAGAGAGGTGGAAATGGGCGTCCGTTTGGAAGACGAGCATTGGGCTCACGAAGGTCATCAAAGAATGAATGTGCACATGCTTCTAGCTGCAAAGACAAAAAAGTACTAGTCAAACAGGAGAGCCACAAAACAGAGATGAAAACAGGACAACTTCACATGTAAAACAAGACACGAAAGATAAAAGCTTTGAACCAGAAAATTCATTTTTCAGTAGTGACCAAAACTGAACTCATGAGTATTGAGAATCACACGAAAGAGCAAAAACAAACACAGATGGAGTATTCATAAGCGACTATAAAACAAAAATGAATCCTGAAACAATACACAATGACAACCATATGCAATTAAATGAAATGAACTTACAGCTGTGCAGCGAAGGCTTGGTGAGTATTGCAGCAGTCGGGAAGCCAGATCAATTGCCTCTGGAGGCATCCGTTTGTGGAAAACCTAAATCAAGGAAACAAAATGGAAATTTATAAATCTAGTACCAAGTATCTTTTTTTATTAAACATCAGAATGGATTTAACAAAAGCAAGATAAAATATGCTTATAATGCAACCTTCTACAAAAAAATGCCTCAAGTCCCCAACAGATTATCTCTTAAAGCCAATAGACGAGGATGTTCCTCTACATTAATGTGATCAGTGCAGTAATGGAAGGAAGCAGACCAAATACCTTGTGCCAAGGGTGAGCTTTTATCTGTGGGAACCTAAAATCCGTATAATTTGGATTCATACAACGAATTTCTTCACGTGTTGGCGTGCCAAGAACCTGCAAGACATAGTGTCAGATGATGACGCGCTATTATAAGAATTATGTAATTTACGCATTGATCACTTTCACTACTCACCTTGATGATCTCCACAAGCTGGTCCACTGCATTTTCTCCAGGGAACAATGGCTGCAAAACAGTTGGAGTATATATGAGTACATATGTAGTTGGAACAAAATCACTTAGGCAAACACAATCAACTAATGCCATCGAGTGTAATAAAGAGCTACTAACCTGGCCCAGTAGAAGCTCTGCTAGGACACAACCGGCTGACCAGATATCGATTGAAGTTGTATAATCCGTGGCACCGAATATAAGTTCTGGAGCCCGATAGAAACGTGAACATATGTATGATATGTTTGCTTCACCTTTCACCTGCACACAAAGAAAATTTACTATAAGTGAACTAAACCCTACATATAGAGACTGAAATACCAAAAATATTTAAAGCCTGAAGAATTAGTCAACATACCAGCACTTTTGCACTTCCAAAATCACAAAGCTTAACTTGGTGCGTAAGAGGATCAACCTGGTGGAAGCCGAGAGCAACTTTAGAAAATCAGAACTATATACATGGGTATATGCAAGCATGTATGAGACTGTATCTCAATTAAACCATATATATTGCTACGTAAGAGAAAAAGTGAATAGAATACCAGAAGATTATGAGGCTTCAGATCCCTATGGCAAACTCCGGGAACGCTGTGTATGTAGGCCAGCCCTCTGAAAATCTGGAATGCCTCGCCAAATTAGTGCCACGAAGAATATAAAACAAGTCAACATACGAAAGATGCATTATATATTACCTGGTACATGTAAAGTTTGACATAGAGCAGTGGCATTCTCTGGTTTGCATTGCTGTAATGCTTCAAAACGCGGTCCATAGTCTCCGGGACATATTCCATAACCAGATTGAGAAAGAGTTCATTTTTACTGGTAGTGGAAAAGAAACAGTGCTTCAAAGAAACCACATTCGGATGGTCCATCACACGCATCAATTGAAGTTCCCGGTTCTTATATCTTCTGTCCTGCAACACCTTCTTTATAGCCACTGTCTCGCCGCTTTCCAAGCATTTTGCCTGAAAGAAAAGAATTATCAGCTCCTGACATGACAAATAAACTAGTACCCTGACGCAATACCTACAAAGCTGATATTGTGACATACCTGGAAAACAATTCCAAATGACCCAGTTCCTACAACGCGCTCCGCCATGTAACTAATGGTCTGCAAAAGAAGCATTATACCAAAACAAATCAACTTCCGAAGGCAGGAAACAAACCCGATCAGCTATAAAAACATATAGATCTCCAAAATTGGAATAACAATCAAGAGGCAAACTTTAACAACGAAACACAGGTAACACGGCAAATTCAAAGAATAATAACCTGCTTTGGTTCTCCATTTTTGCCTCCAATGGTTGTGGATATGATGTGACCGGTCGGATCGCTACCGTCCACGACGGGAGCAGAAATTTCCTGCACAGCACAAAGTTCAGACTTTGAAGTAAACAAATTGGCCACAAAACATAAGAAATTCACGGATTAGAACCACCAGAAGCACACAAAACACGACCGCAGATCACGAAAAATACCCCGAAAACTTCACGAAACAGAATCCCTGAAAATTCACCAAAAGCATCGACAAAAATTTTCCCCTTTTTCACAGATCAGCAGGCAATTGTGATGCTGATTAAATAAATGCAAATCTAACCCAAATTATACAAAAGCTTCAGACTTTAATCAAACCCAGTTGATTTATCTCAGAGTGATCTGAGCTAAAACCGGAAGTAACACAAAAAACCCCTAGAATTTGAAGAACCCTTGCTCATACCAAAATCCAGATCAGAGAAAAAGAAACAGAACTGCTGCTCAGCCGAGAAAGTTTCCTCCCTTCGCAACCAAACAAAAACAAAATATTGAGAAAGTAATGAAGGAGTGAGAGTACCTTATCGTCAGCCATGCTCAGAGAAGAAGGCAGAGGAGAGAGAAAGAGGGAAACAGGAAGAGGAGAGAGATGATCAGACTGTATATTCTAACGGGAAGAAGGAGGAGAAATCCATGGCGGTGGAGGTGGAGGTGGCGGTGGCTGAGAGAGAAGAGGAAGAGGAAGAGGAAGAGGAAGAGGGGAGAGGAATTAGAGGTGTCTGGTGTAGCCAAAAGGAATTAGACGAACAACAACCCCCATGTGATTCCAGCTCTTCTTTCAGTTTTTGCTTCTTCTCTCTCTCCTCTCTTTCTCCCTCTACCCAACGGAGTGGGCCCTCTGGTCTAGTCTTTGCCTCCAATTACGACTTTACCCCGCCTTTTTCTTTCTGTCGTCCGCCGACGTCGGCAATTGCCCGATTTCTCACCACCTTTGTCTTTCTTTCACCTTTCCAAATTTCCTCACCCAGCAATTATGCAATTTCCTTTTTCAATTTTTAATCTCATATTTTTATGGTTTACGTCTTTTTTCTCATCATATGACTAAATAAACGATGAGTTTATCTTCTTCAACCTCGTCGAAGAAACTTTAGATACTTCGGTTATATTAACAGACGTACACAATTAGTATACATGTTACGAAATGATTGTTATTTCATGCCGTTAGTATTAACGGATGTATACAATTAGTATACTTTGTTATATTCACTCATCGTTGCAAAACTTAAATAATAAAATTGTACGTTATGATTATAGTTTTTATCTTTTATCACGTGATTAGATAATTAGTTACGGTGACTTTTTCTCTAATAAAATACACTTGGATATTCCGTTACATGTACCTACCTATGTAAACAACAACTACATGTGAGTTTTCACCCGCCATTAGAGATCTGTGAACGTGTTTTCCTTGCTTATTTTTATTTTTTTAAATCAAAACAAACAAACAAATAAACGGTAAGAATTACATTAACAATTCCCCATGAATTATTTGTTAATTTGTTACATATGTAAGTTGTGACTGTTGTGGTAAACAGCTAATCCAATCGAATGATATGAACCATCCATGCGTACAAATTGAGGGCAAACACTCCCAAACATCGACATGTCCAAAAGTACCAGAAGCGCAAGCTTTATGTGCCAAATGTAAGAGATATTCTATCTTAAACTAAATGTACTGCAGAAAAAGTGAAAAATTCGAATTCAGAGGCCTAATTAAACACATTTTTTTAGCAATATTATTATGTCTACGTTCGCATGCTAGTCCAACGTTTTAAACGTTTGTGGCTTCATCCAATGAAACTTTTCAAAGTAGCTAATTTTATGTTTGTTCCGACAATAAGAATTGACAAGATTGCTCACTCCTAGTGTTTGCAACCCTTGTGGTCCGATGGCAACATGGTATGTCGATTTTTCTTCAGTGCAACCGAGTTTCCATATAGAATTGTTATAATCTTCTGACATGTGAGTGAGATTAAAAAAACAACAAAATTATATTACTGCTTATAATTTTATTTCGAGGTGAAAGATTAAATTATCTTTTAATTAAACAAAAAATGTTTTGTAAATAGGTAGTTTATATATTAAAATTGAAAAAAAAAATTCTGTATTGGTGCTCAGTTGCATGCACCAAAGAAAAATCAATGGTACGTAGGGTTTCTGGACAGATTTTTCAGTGTGTCGAGTTATATTTTAGTACATCAATTATAATAATATAATCAGTTAAAATAACAAAAAAATTTCGACCAATTATATTATGTATCAAACAGTGTTCTCAGCACATTGAAAAATTTCTTGAGTTTATGAAGTTGAATTGAATTGCATATATACCATTGATAAACTCTGGTATGTGGATTAGGCAGTTAATGGTTTGATTGGTATAACTTATACAAAACTTACACAAAATATAAAATATAAAAGAAAGAATAATTAAACGAGAAGAGTGATTCACAAGTTGAAAAGATGAACAATATATCCTATAATTTTTTGAAGGTTAGATTGTCTTTTTCGCAGTGTTCAAAGAATGAAGAGATGCATTGACCATTTGCATAAACCTCCATATTTTATTATTCTTTGACGCATTATTCTATCAACCTATGCATTTTCTTATTCACAATTTCACACTACTATTATCTATAATCCCAATTCAACACCACTAAAGCACTACATAATCATACAATCTTTACTTCTTGATTAGCCGAAAGAAAAAGGTTTAAGGTTAATATAATATATTTCTTAATCTTAATTAATTACGCATAGAACCATTAGTATATTGGTTGGCTCCATCTCTTCGAGAGAATTTTAAGTATATTAGGAACACAACTTAGTAAACTAAGTGTAACACTACTTTTTGAATTTTTTTTTTTTAAGTTTCTAACCAATTGTATCATTACACTTAATGTACTAGACCGTATATTTAACATATTGGGTTCATCTTTCTTGCCAAATCGAAGATATACATATATATGCAAAAATAACTCATTCAATTACTACGTAGAAAAAATTATACATACAAGTGGAATTGTGGTTCATAAGTAAGTATATAAAATAGGGTGAGTTTCTGCTGTCGCCACTAAAATGATGGGTGAATTTTAATGACCGCTACTTATATAAAATAATAGGTTGAGTTTTTACTCACCGACACATCACTTTAAAACGGTTGTGAGCATCAATACTATATAATAACAATCAACGAGTAATTTTTATTTCATTTTTATGCAAATAACTCCTAAAAAGGGCACAATAAAATTGTGGTTCGCATGTAAATTAGAATGATTAGATTCATCAAAAGAAAATTGCTTGTTTTTTCAATCATGCATAGTCCAAGTTTAATTTTGAGAACTTTAACGAAAAACTCTATTACTGTTCACTTTAACGAAAAATCACATTTTTATATTATAAAATCAATCCTGGTACTATTCATTTTACCTTTTATTTTATATTTATTGTTAAAACTCAAAATTTTCAAAACATTTTTATTAATTTTTTTAATAGAAATTCCTTTCTTTCTGTTGAACAAAAAGAAAAATGATTTATTTGAATTCACCTTGAAAACACAAACTCCACTTTTGTTTCAGCTCATCTCACAGCCCTGGACATTTTTCTTTACAACTAGTAGCCTAGTCATTAGCCTAAGTGTGAAAAGGGCATGCCCAATCATTTTGTCTGAACCACTGTTTTGACCAGTATTACATTTGAATATAATTTTCTAATAGTTTTAGGAACTGTTACCGGCATGATTCGTATGGGATTCCTTTCACCTAATTATACTAATCAAACATTTGGATCTTTGAAATTTGATCTAACAGATAAAATTATTATAACTTTTAAAATGAGCCCCTCTTTTTAACCGTTTGATAAAATTTAAAAAGCCCAAATTGTTTGATGAAGAAAATTAGGTGAAAGGGATTTGTACTAACATTATAAAACATTATGCTAAAAATATAAGATGACATAAAGACTATAGGGAGGCACACTTTGAGAAAATCTCCTTAACATTTATCTTTTTTTTTTTGTTAGAACACCACACCAATAATCAAAGCTTAGCTACTAAGCGGAGTTGACTACATGAATCATACAGCGTTACTCTCTTCAATTTTGCGCCATATTTTGGGTTAGCTCTAAGAACTCTATATTTTTTCTTAAAATCTATTTTCAAGTCTTTTTGTGTCTTCCTCTATCCCTTTTACCTTGAGTCTTCGTCCTATAGACTCATCTTCTAATCGAAAAATTTGTAGGTCTTTATGTGTGTTTTCATATTAAAAAGCCATTAGTTTTGTATACTTATTTGATCATAAATTACTAAATGTAACTGTTGATATAAGTCAGACTACTTACTCAAAGTAATTTAGCACTCAAACAATCTCTTTGTTCATATGAAATTTGAACGAGTCGTCACATAAAAAGTGATTAAAAGATTCTAAACAAGCAATTCTAGATGAGATTCATATTTCATGAAGAATGTTTTACATTTTAGTGGATATCTGATTCCTGTTCTTGGTAAAATTCTCATTTTTTAGACATTTATCTTGAGTGAAATACGACAATAGATTATTTTGTTTTATAAGAGCATGCTCTTAAACTGTCTTGCGTATGATTTATGAACTCTTATATATAATTCTCTTATTCTTATATTACATTTCAGATTCGACGTAAATTTTCTTTGTAATATTCTCTCTTTCAACTTTAATAGAATGACCAATTGTATGGATCCAAGTTCAAAACACCACCCCGTACATTTCAACAAAACTTTATCGACCTGTGACAAAAATATACAAACATTACAAAAAAAAAAAAGCTATTACAAAACTATAACAATAACTTTCATCATGGTAATGATTGTGGTTTCATATAAAACTATTTATTTAATGTGTTGGCAAAATAAGACAAACAATTTCGAATTAGTTTCGTAGAAATATGAGAAGAAGTGGGTTAATAGTTACTACCATAACCTGTAGCGTCGGTGGTCAGTGGAGGAACAGTGTTTATTTATACTATTGGTCAAAACTGGATAAAATGGCAACTGTGTAGTTAGAAGCGGTGGTCGAAGCCTGGTCGGTCGTCGTCGTCTGAACTCTGCAGCCTCTGCTGTTGCTGCAACTGGGGAACCCACTGCAGTGCCAGTAGGGTATAGGGTGGATGAATCTCACGGTCCCTAAAGCATCACGTGTCGCGATAGGGAGATGGCTGGATGTTGGGCTTTGACTATACTCAAAGAGATGTGATGGTTTCGAACAGAAACAGTTTTGCCCATGAGGGTGTTCGAAACAGTTATGCCCATGAGGGTACAGCATTTTCTGGGATCTGTAAAGTTGAAGGGTTGGAGTGTTTGTGGCCCGTGAGCATGAGGCATTTATTGGGCCAACCTCGGCTTGTCCGAGGTTGTTAACTTGCAGGAGGAAGTAGTGTTGATTTGGTGTGGGGATTGCAGTATTTTGTGGATGCTTGTTTCGCCAAGGCTAAAAGGAAATCGTCTCCCATTTGATGAAAAAATGGCCTCCACTGGACCACTGGTGCAAGAGCATGTTTAAGAGAGACACTCAATTTTTAGCAAAAACTAGTGAAAGGCTGAAAACTACTTACTTGGCATTGAGAGCTTTGGCTCAACATACTAAGGAACATTTTCAGATGGGATAGATGTTGCTGTCAAGATGGTACAAAGCCGCTTCAAACCTAAATAGCACAAAACTACATTCAAATTCTAAATAATGAACTACGTTAGTTTGATTCCACAATTGGTACGTAGGCAGTCTAGTACCAAATAGAACCAAACCCAAATCCAAATCTGAACTACATGTGGCTTGATCTCTCACAAAGAGAGTATGTAGGAAATCTAGTTCCAAATTCGAACCCAATCACAACCACAACCAAACACATACCCAAATCTAAACTACATGTTGTTTGATCTCTCATAAGGAAAGTATGTAGGCATTCTAGTACCAAATTCTAGAACCACGCTCTCTTAAAACTAATTCATATCCACCAAATTAAATCCAAACAGAATCGCTAACTCACCCGAAACTAAATTCAACTCAAATTAATAACTGACTGACCCTAGACCAAATTCCCCTCAAACACTTCAAGCACCAAATCAAATGGCCATCACCAAATTCCACTGAATTACGAGTTTCATTCTCTTCAAAAGGGATATACAGGCAACTTAGGATTTCTTCCAAGTGCAGCTACAGTAACAAAACCAAACAAACCACCATTCCCCGCAAATGACGTTTCCTCGTAATCTTAATCAAACGGTGTTTCTCTTTTGGCATCGTTACAAGAAATTGTAATCAACAAATTTTTAATCTTGAATGGGTCCGAACTCAAATAATAAAACCTTATTCTTTTCAAGCAGTGCTGAAATTGTTCGAAGAAGTTTGTGCTTGAATTACACTAACCACATTTCTCATTGGGAATTTTTGAGAGGTAAGCTACATACCGGAAAAGGATTCTCGCTTGGGATCTTAGGGTTCTCGTAATCGTGATCGTTCATTGTTCATTGTGCGATTAGTTTTCGTTAGGTACTATTTATATTTAATTTTAAATTTTCAAATGATTTTTAACTGCACGATTTACGATGAACGATCATGATCACGGGATTCCTAGGATATTCAGAAAAAGAATCCGACAAACATCCTTTTCCCTACCTACGTATCTGTTGAATATGTGGCTCATTCCTATTGGGCCTGTTCTGTTTCCCATTTGAATGACAGGGGAGTGGCCTTAATATAAGGCAGCAACTAAAAGTTGCAGATTTGGGAGAGATAGAATGGCCGACTGCTCTATGGAAGAAAAGAGGAAGAAATGATCCTCCTTGTGGATAATCACTGAGTCAATGATATTGGTCCTACGTTTTGTGGTTTTTGGGTGAGAAGGGATTTGGTCCTCCGTTGTAGTCTAGTTGGTCAGGATACTCGGCTCTCAACCGAGAGACCTGGGTTCAAGTCCCGGCAACGGAACCGCTTAACCCCACTTAATGGGAAAAGACTTTGTTATTGTTGTTGTTGTTGATTGTTTGAGTGAGAGAGTTTTGAGATTTGAGAGTAAATTCTATTTGTAAATTCAAATTTGATATTAATGGAATTTTCTGGTTGTCTCCAAATTGGACGTAGGCTTACGCCAAAGGGAAATTTTATTTAAACCCATGCAACCTCTTTTTACATCCAACTTAAAATTTTGAATGTTAATTGTCTATTTTACCCTATTGCATAATTACTATTAAGTACAAAATGAAATTAATAATAAAACTCAAATTTATCAATAAACCCAAACACTATAATTAAACTCTACGAAATTTACACAAGCTCGAAAATCTACTTAACAATAGTGAAAGTGGTACTTGGTTTTGAGAGAAACTACATCCTCATCTCCCACAAGATTTGAGACGATGGCCATCACTTCTTTGGGGAACAATGAAGGATCCACATCCTGTTCAGCCCAACTGCCAATAAAAAAAAATGAGAAGATCAGAACTTCCGAAATCAACAGATGAATTATGTGTCAACTCCTTGGAGTTTCTTAAACCAAATTTCCCTGGACTTCTTGTTCTTTTTCGAATCGTAAAACGTCATAGGGTAGATAAGCAAGCCAACATAAGTTCCATACCCAGAAACACCATCAGCAATAGCAAGAACTCCCCCAGCGGTCTGCAAAGGCCATCCTATTGAATTGGGTGTAAAAATAAATTCACATATTAAATTGGGTTTATGGGGGTATATTAGGTATTAAATTTGGGTTTAAAGAGATATTAATAATTTAGTTAAAAATCAAATTGGTGCAAAGAGTAAGTTGAGTGTATAAATAAGTTACATGGGTTTAAATAAAATTTCCCTATGCCAAATTAGTATAAATCATGGATTGTTTGACTTGTCATAGTTTTTCATATTGGTTTATTGATTTCATAATTGACGCTTCCACGCAACATTATTGTCTTTGTCTAATAGTTAACCCTCTGACTTCTCATGTTTTTTATGCTTAAAATTTTTTCCCTTGAAATTAGAAATTATGAAAGCAATGCAAATCAGCCAAGAATGTAAACCGAGTCATAAAAAAACATAAGAAATAGTTGAGGATCACAATAAAATCCAAAAAATGCAGCTGAAAATGACACCCGGCATTTGAAATCTATAAGATACATCAGGCTCCTTTTAGTCAACAATCATTTTGTTTTTAGCAGTCTTTATCGGATAAGTTTAAGTTTTCTATATGAAAAATATATACAAACTTCAAGTTGCAGACACGTATGTCTTCTTGGTTTTCAGAAAGTGTTTGCTGTATAGGACAATGGCGAGAACTCGTTCCCTCTTGTCGATAGCGTTGTTGCTCGTCCTGAGCTGTTGTATGTATCTGCGGAACTCATTAATAGGCACAGTAGCAGCACAAACCAACATCAGCACAGACCAAGCTGCTCTTCTTGCTTTCAAAGCCCATATAACTAGTGACCCCCGAAACATATTGACCACCAACTGGTCTACCACGAATTCCAATATCTGCAACTGGGTTGGCATTACTTGCGGTGTAAGCCACCTTAGAGTCACAACCGTGAATCTGTCTTACATGGGTCTCAGAGGCTCTATTCCTCCTCACCTAGGCAACCTCTCATTTCTTGTTCAGCTGGAATTCAGAAACAACAGTTTCCATGGTACCTTGCCACCAGAATTGTCTCGTCTACGGAGGTTGAAGTTGATTAGGTTCAGCTTTAACGACTTTATAGGAACAATTCCATCATGGTTCGGGCTCTTATCTGAACTTCAAACCTTCGATTTGTATGGTAATCAATTTTCAGGTTTCATACCGAATGCCATCTTCAACTTATCTGCACTGCAAGTACTTGATCTAAGAAACAACCAGCTATCTGGTATGTACTTATCAAACAAAGCTATCTGGAACTCTTGGTGATCATTACTTATGTTTAAACACCATGCTTGTGATTTATATGGTATTTTAATTTCTTTTCCCCGGCCCTATTCTCTTTCCGCTGCACATATATCACGTGTTCCCTAAATTTATAGGTAGCATACCAAGAGATGTCGGGAAGTTAAAAATGTTGAAGGAGATATCACTTGGAGACAACGATTTCACAGGTGTGACTCAATCAGCTTAACTCTTTCTAGTGATTGTATATGTATCCTACTTTGTTGGTATTTTTTTTTAATAGGGAACTTTAACGAAAAGCTTCCGGTAATGTTCACTTTAACGAAAAACCATACTTTTACAGTAAAAAGTCAATCTCACTATTCATTTTATCCTTTATGTTGTCATTATCGTTAAAACTCAAAGTTTTCAAGCATTTTTCATTAGTTTTCCATTTTTTTAACTATGGGCTGAGATGCACATGTTTTATCCAATTAACAGGTAGAATACCAAGAGAAATCGGGAACTTAACCATGCTGAAGAATATATACCTTGACTTTAACATGTTCGAAGGTAGGAAATCTTGTCGTTGAAGTACTGCATTAAGAAAACTAATTTATGTGTAACCCTTATCATAAGGACCAGCAGATGACTTAAACACGTATGTATGACTTTTCAGAAATTCCAAACTTGATTGGTAGTAAAGATCAGGTGGAGAAGTTGTACGTGCAGGCTAATGCCCTAAAAGGACCTGTTCCTTTGGCTGTCTTCAACATGTCTTCTTTGAAAATTTTGGCTCTAACAGCAAACTACTTGACTGGTAGCATTCCGGACGATTTATGTCAGCATCTTCCAAGTATCCAGATCTTGAGTTTGGCTCGCAACAAACTTGATGGTCCACTTCCATCCAAATTATGGCAATGCAAAGAGCTTCTCCAGTTCTCTTTAGACTATAACAACTTCAGTGGAAGCATACCAAAAAGCATCGGGAACTCTACCCAGTTAGAAAGGATTGGCATTAGCTACAACAACTTGACAGGTACCTGCCAAGTAACATATTGTTTTGTTCCAATCATGATTATTTCTTGATTCAATAAATGTGGGGTGGTAGTTACTTATGAACGATTCATAATTTTTAAAGTACTTAATTTTAGGCCCCTCTCACCTTGCTGTTGTGTTGTTAAAAAGAGGGAAAAATGCTTTTCGTAAACTGGGGATACGATTAAAGAGAATTCTTTTGAAATTTAAATCATCATGTTCAACATAAAGAGCGGAAGGAATCCCGAGTTAAAAGAAAATAGAGAGTACCCATCTTCTGCATAAAGAAATTTCATAGAACATACAAAATCTGAGATGTTTTCTGTAGCTGAATATGTATAAACAAAAACATTGGGGCTTACAATGCTGGCCATAATCCATCTTCTTCATCCTCATTTTTTTACAAATAAGGATTCTTTTCTATTTATATTTTCTTTATAGTGATTTGGTGAAGTTGGCGAATCGATTAATACTATAATCGCGACATTTTAACTAATAGTCTTAAAGACAACTTTTGTTATATTATACCAGTTTAAATATGTAGTCATTTGTAGTATCTAAGAGTATGCATTGCGGCAGGTACCATACCAGATGAGATTGGTCATCTTAAAAATTTACACAGATTGTCACTGCATGTTAATAATCTCCATGGCCCCATCCCATCCACAATATTCAATATGTCCAAGATCACAACTATTTCTCTTCCTGAAAATCAACTCTCAGGCAACCTTCCTGCATACATAGGTCTTGGGGTCCCAGACCTACAAATGTTTTATGTAGGTGGCAATCAACTCACTGGAGCATTTCCCAACTTTATGTCCAATGGTTCTAAGCTCACAAGTCTAGATATGTCCAAGAACTCATTTTATGGGTTTATTCCAACCAAGCTCTGTCTCTTGAAAACCCTTGAGTATCTTAGCTTAGGCACAAATAATTTGGCGATTGATACTTCAACTCCAGAAGTAAACATCCCTTCTTGTTTTGCTAATCTCACAAATCTTCGGGGATTCCATTTATCAAATAATCCATTAAACACCACTCTTCCGGTTTCCTTTGGAAGTATCTCTACATTGCTTGAACATCTTGATATAAGCAATTGCAACTTGAGGGGTAACATTCCAAGCGATATTGGAAACTTAAGCAACCTGAGAGTCTTGGACTTGGGAGACAATGAATTCGGTGGGTCAATTCCAACTTCTGTGGGAAGATTAGGGAAGCTTCAAGGTTTGTATTTGAATGATAACAAGTTGCAAGGATACATCCCATATGAACTTTGTCAACTCGACAATGTGGCTGAACTACTTTTGGGTGGTAATCAACTCTCTGGTTCTATACCTTCCTGCTTAGGTAATTTAGCCAAAAGATTTAGAGTTCTATCCTTGCAGTCCAATTTCTTATCTTCCACAATACCATCTACCTTGTGGGAACTGACAGATATCTTGTACCTAAACTTGTCATTTAATTCTCTATTTGGACCTCTCTCAGAAGATATTGGAAAATTGAAAGTTGTGACAATTGTTGATTTGTCAAACAACAATTTATCTGGTATTCTACCAAGTAGCATTGGCCAACTTCAGAATTTGCTTAAACTTTCACTGTCAACTAATGGTATAGAAGGCCCCATTCCCATTACACTTGGAAAGATGACAAGCCTAGAACAGTTGGATTTATCCAAAAACAATCTCTCCGGAGTGATTCCAAAGTCTCTAGAAGCACTCTCTCATCTCAAGAATCTAAATTTGTCTTCCAACAGACTGCAAGGTGAAATTCCAACAGGTGGACCTTTCCAAAACTTCTCTGCCCAGTCATTTGTTTCAAATGCTTTACTCTGTGGTGTCCCCCGCTTGCAAGTTCCACTCTGCAAAAGTCGTACAGACCGCAAACCACATTCAAAGAAAGCTGGTACATCTACCTTGAAATATATTATTCCAGGATTCATTTCAGCAATAATCCTAGTGGCAATTGCTTTAATGTTGATACGACGTAGGAAAAAGAATGTGCAAGTTGTAACAAGTACTACCTGGTCACCTGAATTTTTTTGGAGAAGCATTTCACGCTTAGAACTTGTAAGGGCGACAAATGGATTTCATGAAAGCAACTTACTTGGCGCTGGGGGTTTTGGTTCGGTATATAGAGGTACACTTTCAGATGGGATACATGTTGCAGTAAAGGTTTTCAATTTACAGGTGGAAGGGGCTTTCAAGAGTTATGAAAGGGAATGTGAAATGCTAAGCAATATTCGCCACCGAAATCTTATCAAAATCATTAGCTGTTGCAGTCAAATTGATTTCAAAGCCATGATACTAAACTACATGCCTAATGGGAGCCTCGAGAAGTGGTTGTATTCTCAAAACTCATCTTTGAATATCTTACAGAGGTTGAACATAATGATAGATGTTGCATTGGCATTGGAATACCTACATGGTTATTCAATACCTGTTGTCCATTGTGACGTGAAGCCAAGCAATATACTCCTAGATGAAGATATGGTTGCACATGTTGCTGATTTTGGCATTGCAAAGCTAGGTGGAGGAGATTATGTTACCCATACCATGACCCTAGCCACAATTGGATATATGGCACCAGGTGATGTATTGTTGCAGCTAGTTTATTTTTCAATTTTGTATATCTTGTCCTTAACTAAGAAAAAAATCAATTTATATCAATTTATTTTCCCTTAAAATTTTGCAGAGTATGGAACAGAAGGAATTGTTTCGACAAGAGGGGACGTGTACAGTTTCGGTATTGTACTCATGGAGACATTTACAAAAAGAAAACCAACAGATGAGATGTTTGTTGAGGAAATGAGTTTAAAGCAATGGGTTTCAAATTCACTATTATCAGATGCATTATCTACAGTTGTGGATGCTAATTTGCTTGGGATGCATCAAGAAGATCATGACTTTGAGACCTGTAATGATTGTTTATCATCCATAATGAGATTATCCCTTGCTTGTGCGGCCGAATCACCGGAAGAGAGGATAAACATGCTAGAAGCTGTATCCACACTCAAGAAAATCAAGATGAAGATTCTGGAGAACGCTGCCAGAGGTGTGCGTTTAAATCTTCCAGTGCTTCCTGTCTAGGTTGGATAAATTGTATCATTCTCTCCAATAGAACATACTAGTTTTCGTTTCTGTAAATTTTAAATGGAAATGAGTTTGGTGTATTCGTTGAGTATTTTGTTCATGGAACAATGGTTGTGATTTAATCAAAATTGTTCTTGTATCATTATCTCCAAAGGACTTGCCTATGCACAATTTTAGTCCATATCAACAGTGGCCTCAAAAACCTTGACCACCAAATCGGTCAGTAGTTCTTGCAATTCCTTTTGCAAAGTGGCCACCATTTCATGCCAAAATTCTCACAAATCTCACTTCAGATTTACGACTCACTCCCTCCAAACACTTAAAGACTCAACTGTACTTTGATTCTTGATGTATAGACACAAATCTTTCGAACAATAAATGAAGAAAACGTCGTTTGGGGAAATCCTGATGAGGTATGTCAACTTTCTTTTTTTTTTCTTTTTACCGAGACCTACATTTGATTTCTCATATTTTTAATGATGGGTTAGGAAATTGTTCAAAAAGTCAAACCATTTTTTGTAGGTGTTTAGTAGAAGGAATGTAATTGTATAAATAAACTCTAGCCAATAATCGAGTAAGACATGAATCGATAAGTAATGAAAAACAGAAAATATATAAACTTTCGAAGCCACACGGCTGAACGTCCTTCGCTATCAACCATTCCACCTCATCATCCAAACTCTTAAATCTTCACCTTTGACACAATCAAATCTAAAAAATTATGAAAATACACGCAAAAGAAAAACAAGAATAAAACTAGACGCAAGTAATCCAAATGACCATTTGGGCTGATAGACTTTCAATCATCAATTCCATTTGATCTCTCCTCCACAAACTCAAATTTGGATTACTCAATTATTTCCGCAATATAATTATCTCGTTGTTCAATAGAGCTTGAGAATTTGATGCATATATGTGTTCATATTAGATATTCACCAAAATTTTAAAACAATCTTTTATTTTATTATTTTCACTTTTCTCAGGTTTTGCGACCGGAAATTTTTAGTGCAATTGGGTAGAGTACCATGAATATCAAAGGGAAAAGGATCCTGGCCGGATTCTTTTATTGAGATCTTAAAGATCTTGTGATCGTGATCGTTCATTTTATATCGTGAGGTAATAAATTATTAGGTACTATTTAAATTTTATTTTATATTTTATATTTTAAAATATTTTTGACTGTACGATGTACGATAAATAGTTACAATCATGAAATTCCTAAAATCCCCAGGAAAAGAAGCTCAAAGGGTCGTCATTGTTCAGGTGAGCACTATTCTAAAGTCAAAGATATTATTAATTAGTATATTGGGAATGGTAAGGACGCCTTGGCCGGCATTTGGATGCTGCTAATTCAGTCCACTTTGGCACAGTATTGTATTGATAATTTAGTCGACTTCGGATACTGCTAATTTAGTCCACTTTGGCACAGTACATGTTAGCTAGTTGGATCAACGAAGGCATTACTTCCACTCCTTAAATTCCATAAAATACATCTGGCTCCTTTTAGTCAATAAATTATTTTCTTTTCAGTCTTCGTCAATAAATTCAAGTTTTATAATGAATACGAACTTCGAATTGCAGACACTTGTGTCTTCTTGGTTTTCAGAAAATGTTTGCTGTATAGGACAATGGCGAGAACTCGTTCCCTCTTGTCGTTAACTTTGTTGCTCGCCCTGAGCTGTTGTATGTATATGCCGAACTCATTAATAGGCACAGTAGCCGCTCAAACCAACATCAGCACAGACCAGGCTGCTCTTCTTGCTCTCAAAGCCCATATCACTAGTGACCCTCAAAACATATTGACCACCAACTGGTCTACCTCGAATTCGAATATCTGCAACTGGGTTGGCGTTACTTGCGGTGTAGGCCACCTTAGAGTCACAGCCTTGAATCTCTCTTACATGGGTCTCACAGGCTCTATTCCTCCACAACTAGGAAACCTATCATTTCTTGTTCAGTTGGAATTCAGAAACAACAGTTTCCATGGTACCCTGCCATCGGAATTGTCTCGTCTACGGAGGTTGAAGTTGATTAGGTTCAGCTTTAACAACTTTATAGGAACCATTCCGTCATGGTTCGGGTCCTTATCTGAACTTCAAACCTTCGATTTGTATGGTAATCAATTTTCAGGTTTCATACCGAATGCTATCTTCAACTTATCTGCACTGCAAGTACTTGATCTAAGAAACAACGAGCTATCCGGTACGTACTTATCAAACAAAGCTATATGGAACTCTTGGTGATCATTACTTGTGCTTTAAGTTTTAACACCATGCTTGGTATTTATCTGGTATTTTAATTTCTTTTCCCCTATTCTCTTTCTGCGGCACACATATTATGCGTTCCTGAATTTATAGGGAGCATACCAAGAGAAGTGGAGAAACTAAAAATGCTGGAGGAGATATTACTTGGACACAACAATTTCACAGGTATGACTCGATCAGCTTAAATTGTTCTAGTGATTATGCATCCTACTTTTTTGGTACTTTTCATAACTATAGGCCGGCATGCACATATTTTGTCTAATTAACAGGTAGCATACCAAGAGAAATCGGGAACTTAACCATGCTCAAGGTCATATACCTTGATTATAACATGTTCGAAGGTAGCTAAACTTTGTCATTGCAGTACTGCATTAAGAAAACTAATTTATATGTAACCCGTATCATAAGGACCAGCTGATGACTTAAACACGTATGTACTGATTTTTCAGAAATTCCAAACTTGATTGGTAGTAAAGATCTGGTGGAGAAGTTGTACGTGCAGGTTAATGACCTAAAAGGGCCTGTTCCTTTGGAGGTCTTCAACATGTCTTCTTTGAAAATTTTGGCTCTAACAATAAACCACTTGACTGGTAGTATTCCGGACGATTTCTGTCAGCATCTTCCTAGTATTCAGATCTTGAGTTTGGCTCGCAACAAACTTGATGGTCCACTTCCATCAAAATTTTGGCAATGCAAAGAGCTTCTTCAGTTCTCATTAGACTATAACAACTTCGGTGGAAGCATACCAAAAAGTATCGGGAACTCTACCCAGTTAGCAGAGATTACCATTAGCTACAACAACTTGACAGGTACCTGCCAATTAACATATTTTGTTTTTCCAATCATGATTATTTCTTTATTAAATGTTGGGTCATATTTACTTACTCATGAATGATTCATAATTTTTTTACTCAATTTTAAGTCTCTCTCACCTTGCTGTTGTCAAAAAGAGAGAAAAAAAAAAAAACTTTTCGTAATTTGGGGATATGATTAATGAGAATTCTATTGAAAATTGAAATCATCATGTTCAACATGAAGAGCGAAAGGAAGCCTGAATTAAAAGAAAAGTACAAAGTACCCATCTTCAGCATAAAGAAATTTCATAGCATATACAAAATTCGAGATGTGTTCTGTAGCTGAATATGTACCCATCTTCGTCCTCATTTTTTTTACAACTCCTTTTCTATTTATATGTTCTTTAACAATTTGGTGAAACTAGTGAAACGATCAATACTATAAATGCGACATTTTAACTAATAGTCTTGTAAGATGAGTTTGCTGTTGTGCTTGGATAGCACCAAACCCGTTGGAACCAACTCAAGCTAACCCACAGGAAATTTATCAAATGAAAATGCAAGAACAAAATATAAAAGAACACCAAGATTTTAACGAGGTTCCTCAACAGTCAGTGTAACTGGAGTACGTCCTCGGAGCAGTAGGAGCTCACCCAATAATCCACTATCAACCAAATGGGAGTTTACAAAGTGTTGGCAATCTCACAACCCAAATAACTCAATACACCCAATAACTCTCACTCACCAAAGAAACAAATAGAGAGGGAAATATAGTGAATAATTTCCTCTCTATACAAAGCTCAAAACTAATACACAAATACAACTTTGATTGAGTGAGTACCAACAAAGAAAGAAATCACCTTTCTTTCTTCTCTTTCTGCTCTCAGTTTTCTGCTCTCTGCAGCTCTCTTTGCTCTCTCAAAGATGGACTACAAAACAGAAAATGGTGATCTATCTTTCCTCTCTCTTTCTCACTTCCGTATACTAACATTCATCCATCATCATCACCCAATAAAAAATTCAAAAACATCATCATGACCATCAACTTTTCTTTTCAACAAACATAATCATGATGCCTCCTCATCATGATGTCTTTCACCTTTTTTTATTTTGGTTTGTTTATTAGCCGAAAGTTTTTTTGGACACTTGTGGCCATTAATTCATCAACAATCTCCACCTTGGCCAAGTTCCGAAAAAACGCCATGATAAGCCAACCAACACAATTAGCACACAACATCACTCCCGAACACTAGCAAGAGAACAACTCATGCCGAGCCAAATGCTCCAAAACTCCTACTGCTCAACGCCTTCTTTATATAGGCATAATGTGAGCCAAGTTCAAACAGTGAACAAACTTGGCTACACCACAACAACCTTAGTCAACATATCAGCGGGGTTGTCTTTAGTTGGAATCTTCTGGAGAATGATGATTTCCCCTTCACCAACAATTTCACGAACAAAGTGATAACGCACATCTATGTGCTTGGTCCTCGCATGATGAACCTGATACTTAGCCAAATAAATGGCACTCTGACTATCACAATGTACCTCCACCTGCTTCTGATCAACCCCCAAATCTCTAATCAGCCCATGTATCCAAATGGCCTCCTTTATAGCTTCAGCAACTGCCATATATTCAGCCTCTGTAGTAGACAAAGCAACAGAAGACGACTGCAAAATGGACCTCCAACAAACTGGCCCTTTAGCCATAGTAAACACATAGCCTGTAGTAGACTTCCTTCCATCCAGATCACCTGCATAATCTGAATCAACATAACCAACTGCAAAATGACCAATACCAGAGTCATCTCTCTCAAAACATAAACCAACATCTCGAGTACCATGGAGATATCTCAATATCCACTTAGCTGCTTGCCAATGCTCTTTACCTGGATTATGCATATATCGACTCACCATGCCAACTGCATGAGCAATATCCGGTCTAGAGCATACCATTGCATACATCAAACTACCAACCAAATTTGCATATGGTATATTTTTCATTTGCAGCTTCTCTTTATCATTTTAGGACACTGTAGAGAACTCAATTTAAAATGAGGAGCCAAAGGGGTACTAACCGGTTTGGTTGAATCATGAACTCCAAACTTCCGAATCAACTTCTCAAGGTATTGTCTTTGATTCAAACTGACAAAACCCTTTGCTCTATCTCTAGTGATCTCCATGCCAAGGATCTTCTTCGCTTCACCAAGATCCTTCATCTCAAACTCATTCTTCATTTGTTTCTTCAATTTCTCAATCTCTTCAACATTCTTTGAGGCAATCAACATATCATCAACATATATCAACAAATAAATGAAAGACCCATCTTGCAACTTCTTGAAGTACACACAATGATCATATTGACTTCTAGAATAATTTTGGCCTCTCATAAATTTATCAAACCTCAAATACCATTGCCTTGGAGATTGCTTCAAGCCATAAAGTGATTTCTTCAATTTGCAAAACAAATTTTCCTTCCCTTTCACTATATACCCATCCGGTTGACACATATAGATCTCTTCATTCAAATCACCATGTAGGAAAGCCGTCTTCACATCGAGTTGCACAAGCTCAAGATCATATTGTGCAACAAGAGCTAACATAATACGAATTGAGGAGTGCTTCACAACCGGAGAAAATATTTCATTGTAGTCAATGCCCTCTTTTTGTGCATACCCTTTAGCAACTAATCTTGCTTTAAATCTCACATTGCTTTTCTCATCAGCATCTTCCTTCTTGGCATACACCCATTTGCAACCAATAGCTTTCTTGCCCTTAGGCAATTTAGCTAACTCCCAAGTCTTGTTCTTCAAGAGAGAATTCATCTCATCACCCATGGCATTGCACCACCTCTTCTTCTCCTCACTCTCAATGGCTTCCTCGAAATTGGATGGAATCTCATCAGTGATAATAGGAAGAGCAAAAGCAACATAATCACTATACCGAGCTGGCTTGGTAATTTGTCTCTTTCCTCTGTTCTTGGCAATAGACTCTTGAGGTGAAACTTGCTCTTCAACTTGAATAGAATCTTCAAGTTCAACTTCTTCAACATCCTCATGGTCTCCCACTTCTTCACTTGTAGTGGCTTCGACATCAGCGGAAATAGGATTTGAAGTACCAGAGGCAACTTTCTCAAGCCCCACCTGTTGGACATCTTTCACATTTTTCTCAGAGTCTTTGAACATACTTTCTTCATCAAATGTCACATCTCTACTAATTACCAGTTTCTTCATCTCTGGACACCACAACCTGTAACCTTTGACACCACTACTAAAACCAAGAAAGATAGCCTTTTTGGCTCTAGGATCAAGTTTATTTTCAGTCACATGAAAATAAGCAGGTGAACCAAAAATACGGATATAGTCATAATCAGAAGAAGGTTTTCCAGTCCATACCTCCATTGGTGTCTTACCCTGAATAGCAGCTGAGGGTAACCGATTGATGATGTGACATGCATAATTAACTGCTTCTGCCCAAAATGACTTGCTTAAACCCGACTGAGACAACATACATCTAACCTTCTCAAGCAAGGTTCGATTCAATCTTTCTGCAACTCCATTTTGTTGTGGAGTTCCCCGAACACTGAAATGTCTCACAATTCCTTCCTCTTTGCAAACTTTAAAGAAATGATCGGATGTGTATTCACCACCATTATCCGATCTCAAAATCTTAATCTTTCTCCCAGTCTGGTTCTCAACCATTTTCTTCCAACTCAAGAAAATGCTCAATACCTCACTCTTGTGCTTCATAGTGTAAACCCAAGACCTTCTTGAATAATCATCAACAAAGGTCACGAACCAATGTCTACCACTCAAAGAGGGAATCTTTGTAGGACCCCAAACATCCGAATGCACATAATCAAGAATGCCCTTCGTCTGATGTACAGCAGTACCAAACTTCACTCTAGTTTGCTTCCCCAAGACACAATGCTCACAGAAATCAAGCTTACAAGTCGTGGCACCTTTTAGAAGACCTTGTTTCACAAGCCCTTGTAGAACTTTCTCACCGGCATGGCCTAATCTCATATGCCACAATTTAGTAGTATCTGAATCAGATGTGCCCATATTTTCAGATACTACAGATGCTTCACCTGTCACAGTGCTTCCCTGCAATAAATACAAATGGCCACATCTAGGAGCTTTCATCACAACAAGTGCACCATAAGTAACTTTCAATGTCTGTCCATCTGAATGAAACCTGAAACCCTTGGATTCCAAAGTACCTAAAGAAATAAGATTTTTCTTCAAATTCGGTACATACCGAACACCTGTCAACTTTTTAACCATGCCATCATGCAACTTCAAACGAACTGTACCAATCCCTTTTGTTGTGCAAGGATTGTCATCTCCCATGAACACAACGCCACCATCAAACTCTTTCAAGCTTGAAAACCAATCCTTGTGAGGAGTCATATGATGAGTACACAACCCGTATCCAACACCCACTTAGTAGCACAATCAAATGATGAGGAAGTGGTTAAAGCAAAATCAGAAAAATCTGTTTCAACCTCAGCAACATTAGCTTCAGAACTTTCTTTGCCTTTGGTCTTCAATTTAGGACAATCTTTCTTCCAATGACCCTTATTACGACAAAAGGCACATTCATCCCTTTCCAAAGGTTTTCTACCTTTAGAGTTTCCTCTAGGTCGAGACTGTGATTTTTTCCTACTAGAAGATGATCTCCTCTCCGATGATCTACCTCTAACAAATAAAGTTTCAGAGGTACTATCATGATTTTTATCTCTATGCCTCATTTCATAATTCATCAAGGCATTTGACACATCTTCAAATTTCACAGTTTCTTTACCATGCATAATAGTGGTAACAAAATGCTCATAAGAGTCCGGCAATGAATTCAACAATATTAAGGCCTTATCTTCATCCTTAATATCCTCATCTAAATTTAACAAGTCGGCAATCAACTTATTAAAAGCATCAAGGTGTCTAATCATTTTTGTACCTTCTTTGTATTGGAAGCGGTAGAGTTTTTTCTTCAAGTGTAGCCGGTTCTCTGCA